TATATATATACAGTATAGTTGTTTTGCCAAACTCAAATACATTAAATGTGCCATATCAAAGAATTTTTCAAATAGTAATAGTGAAGAAAATCTATTAATTCCAGTACAAGAGAATGRAGTGTGCTGTTTAAAAACAAAGTTATCTGATGTGAGAACAGAAAAGCGATACAATCGTTGAAAGTCACCCTGTAGRTAATTAAAGACTGCATGTTCGGCGCTCGAAAAAACACTCCGCCGCTGAAGCTTCTGCTCAAACTACGACGAGACGCTTGAACATCGATCAGTAATTTGTTTATAGGGTCCTACTGACAAAAAAAAATCACTACATGAAAGGACAACGGTTTCTGTAGSTACGAAAACCTCACTTTGTCCACAAGAATGACCTCTATGCAGTAGACTCTCCAGTCAGATTTTCTAACCTCCAGATTGGCGAGGATTTTGAGCCACACACGCGAATCATATTTCGGTTTGAGAAGTGCATTTTGGAAGGAATGTGCAATAGCTGAGGAATCTGGACTCACGTGTTCATGTTATTTATTTTTTTACACATATATTTTGTATATGTAGATTTCGTAAGTCTGATACAATCCCGAATCATCCCACTCTGATCGATGAACAGCCGTCACTTTACTTTAACTTCTCGTTTCTTTTCTTGACAAAACTATTTTTGGTCATTTGCACTTGTAGTAGAGGTATAAATATAAATAAATTCCTATATATACATAGTATATACGATGTAGAAAAGCAAAACAAATTAGTTTCTAGAACTATTTAAAAACCGTATTTAACGTTTTTAGTGTTGCTTGAATGTCTGATCATACGTTGTGAATGCTGCTAGTATCTATAGATTTATTTGTACTGTAAATAGAGATGAATTAAAATTAAAGATGAAGAGAATAAGGGTATAGAAATAAACATATCAATGGAGGCGGTGGTTATCTAGGCTGTACTTGTATACATATGTAATTCCTGGACAGAGCTAGCTTTCTGTTTTAATAGAAAACTAAATATCTTGATGCAATATTATTACAACTGCGGGCAAATCCTTCATCCTTCTATTTTTTTTTCTTTTTCACTGCTCTCTTCATCGTTCATTATCCCAAATCTGAAGAGAAGCAACTTCAAGGTAACACAATGTGAATTTCTTTTAGGTATTTGAAGACCTGGCAGGAGCTGCCAACATGTTTAAATATGAGAATTTTTGATATATTTGATAAATGCTGCTTGGGAAAAAAAAACAACTACCTTTGACATATTTGATGCTTAACAAGAAGCTATTTCTAGTTTTCAAAGATTTTGCAGTGCCAAATCGGTAGGATTTATATTTACTTTTTCATAATCATGCTTGTCATAGACATGGGAGTTGCTCGCAGCAGTTTTTAAAAGAGCGCAGTTATTTTAGGGATATCTACAGCATCGCCTGCATCATCTGAGCCTTTAAAATTTATCCATGAAAAGCAGATATTTGAYGTTTATTGGAGATGTTTATTGAAAAGGAATTTATTTATTGAAAATATAAATGTTTTATAATTGCTGTTTGCATGGTACTGTGTGGCAATATTTGTTTTAGTGGTTTCTATAGTGCCGACTTACATGTTCAACGTGCAGCGTGGTGGGGGGAAAGGTGGCCAGTCGCTCTCATGGCCGAACCTTGAAAACAAGTTTGTTTTTTTTTGCAAAAAAAAAAACCAATGTATTAAAAAAAAAGAAAGAAGTCAACAGAAAATGAGTTCACTTTTACTTGTTCTATTTAAAACTTTCTCGAGTACTTTTATGTAACGTCATAAAAAATTTGTTTGTGAATAGATGAGCCTTTGGAAGGGTCATTTCACTTTTGTAAATATATATATTACTAAAGTCAGAAACACTGTAACATACTGTTGTTGTCTTTTGTTGTACACTGTTCTAGCACTGTGGACATAGTCTTGGAGTTTTTGTAAGATCACGTGCAATATTGTTCCCACCTCATTTTCTTTTCTCATATTYATATTTATATAAAACTGAAGGTGTCAGCAGTCCCTGACTTAATTTCAGCTTTTGTCAACAGGTCYTTTTTATTAACCATAAAGATCCAAAGTGTTGAATCTAAATGTGGCTGAGACAGTGCTCCCTATGGGACAGTCTGCAGCAGTCTGTTTAACAGCAACCTGYTCTGTAGACGGTCTCACAGCGGCCTCTGGTGGCACAAGCGTGTATTACAGCCTGTTTTTGCTGTCTGACAAGCTCCAATTAACATTCATCTCACCCAAACTTCCTTTTGAATTCATTTGCTTTCCTAGACACTTTATCATGCATAACTTACTTTCCCCCATTTGTTCTGTCGAATTTATTTTAAAAGAAAAATTGTTGCATTTTAATGTGCTTGTTCACCCAATCTGTGAGGTGAGCTCTCCCAGAATCCCCACCGCCACCCTCCTCATCACATCTGCCTCGACCCCCTTGATCTATCCCCCACCCTCATCCCTGCCACCAAAATATCCACCCCGGCTCTATATTTTAAATGTGACTGCAGTACAATTCTGAAAAATGATCAAAGAATATAAAACTTGCGCTTCCAATTCTGGCACAGACTCTGCTTGCACAACAAAGAGACAGTCCACTTAAGGAACCAGCACATCCCCACCCTCCCTGCCTACCCACCACCCAACTGATCCATGATTTAGATCAGACCTGTCACCTGCACAACTGTAGCATGAAGAAGAACCTGCCGGTGATCATCACTCAGTCTCCATCCTTAACTGGATATTAAGGGCTCTGAACACATCTGTTACCGGGTTGAGGAGGCCGTCCTGCTGAGAGGAACAGAAAACTGATCTCTGGTTATTGCAGAGAAGGCACACTGTCTGCAGCTCAGATTTATACCCTTTGGTGGATCACAGACAGGTGGAAAAACGATGATCACACTTTTCACACAGTTCATCATTTTGGGAGTCAGATGAGAAAAAAAAAAAAAAAACTCAAGTGGCTGTCAAAAGCTGTCCAAGCAGAGTCCCAGTCCAGGTTTTGTTGTGTTACTCAGTGCATGCATGCAACCCTGAACGTGTGCTGAAAATATATTGAGTGTTTGTGATATATAAATATTCTGTTTCTATCAGTCTGAAACTTTTTTTCTTTCTTTCTAGTAGTATTTTATTTCACCTTCTGTTAGGACTGGCCTATTGTATCCCAAACTACTATAGAAGATTCTATTTTTTAATGCTCGATCTATTAAAGTCCTCTTATTGTGTCAGTTATATACAAATAATTACCAAAGTTTATTTCAGTTAGGTGTTGGGGGTGGGTGGGTGCTCCAGTGAGTTAAATTCAAACGAGAATAAAAAATTATATATGTTGACTCATCTATGAAAATGTGTAGCAATCCACAAAAAACTTTCTATTTCTATTTTAACTATGAATGGTGGATGTCAAATATAATTTGAATATAAGCTGTTTCAAAGGTGTTTGCTGCCAAACCTGAACTGTAGATTGACCACCTTTCTGTGGTTGCAGTTAAACCTATATTTAATTTGCCAAAAGCTTTCGTTTTATGGCCAAACGACCTGTGAAGAAATAGTTGGGACATTTTGGGAAAGGTGCTTTCTTGGTGCAAAATTAGCACACAAGCTGGAAACAGGAACACAGAACTGAGCTGGCCACCTTACAGAACTTAAAGGGGCAATGTCATGTAAAATCAACTTTTTTTGAGTTTTATATCATGTTATAATGTTATACTGTCATAAAAAACATGCACAAAGCCTTGCTTTGACTCATTCATGCATGTTTGAGAAATCCTGCAGTGACTTTAGGCAGCCACGCTGAGGAGCAAAACGACAGGTGGGGACTAGAAACGCCCCTGGGACGTGTCTTTAAGCCAAACTTCCTCATCACGGAGCACACCTCCCCACCTCCTGCCCATGACTCCTGCAGGCTCTCGGGTGAAAAACCGAAAGTGAAACTTAACCTGTCTTCTGAGATCCTAACAATAGTTCTCACTCAGTGAAGCTCTTTTCAGATTAAAAATACATTTGAGGAAATGTATTTTCAGATGCCAAGTAAACTGCATCATAGCATACCCCCCCCACCCATGGGCAAACGGAAGCAAGGAAGTTCTTAAAGAGACAGAAGCCAATTTCAAGGCATTTGGAAGAGGAAGTGATGAGAAGATAAGTTTATTTTCTATTTAAACATAAAAACAGCATTTTAATAACATCTAAAGGTGACATAGATACTTTATTATGATATAGTATTTAAATGTATGCCTGAGAAACACATAATATTGGCCCTTTAAGATTATTTCACTTCTATTCAAATAAATGAGGCATCGGTCTTCTCCAGATTCTGTTTTTAATCTTTGTGCTATAGGCCAAGTTTTAAGATACTTTAAATATTTTAACTACAACATGCATGTTTCCCATAATGTCCCTTAAAATACTTGAAGCTTTCAGTGATATTTGAATTTGAAAAGATCCAGATCTGCCAAGATTGGATTTAATTCACTGGAATTGTTGAAAATATTTTGTATGGATGCTTGGAAAACTGATGTAGATGATAATAATCAACACACACACTTGTGTTAAAATTCTCTAGAAGAAAAAAATGTTTGTTAATTCTGAACTGTTCATGACTTTTCCTTAACACTGTACCCAGTCTTCTGGTAAAGCTGTAGTGTTTTCCTTTCAGTTCTGTGGGAGTGTGGATGTGTGTACACGTGCACTTGTAACTGCTGGGGGCGGGGGTGGTTTTGGGCAAGGGTGGGAAGGGGCAACATGTAAATAAATCAAAATACAGCTAGTGTGGAGGTGTTTATTTTCTGTGTTAGTGTAAGTTAAATATTCTAAAATAAAAAAAGACCTATTATCTATTGTGTGATCCATGGTACATTTAAAAAAACAAAAAAGTAAAATAGTTCTATCCAACATTTCAAATGCTTATCTCTATGGCTTCTGGTGATACCCGTTCCATTTTATAGATCTGTCAGCACAAAATGCAATAAACCAATATCATTTTATTACAGCAAGTGTGTCTGGAGTTTTTAATCATGTTTTATTTGGACAATGCTAACAATGTACAAATGAAACAACACCGTTCAAAACTATAAAATGCTTAACAGACAACAAATGGAAAACCAAAAGGTACTTCATAATCCCACTGTTTAACTGGTTTGTAAAAAGACAGTAAAATTCTGCAGGCAAATATTTGAAAAAAAAAAAAAAGACCATTATGTGGGTTTGAGTAAATTTTCCAATTATACAAACAAATTAGGGGGGAAAAAATAAAAACCTTTACAAAAAGGCTCTACGGTCCACAGATACAAAGCTGGTAAATCAGTTACAGAGACAGGGATGTGGTGTCTACTTGTAACAGGAGAGCAGAACCACACAATTTCATTACAGCTCATCAGTAGTGGCGAGGATACATGGGCATGGGCGGGGCCTGGCCCATGCTGGGTGCTGGTCTGGGGGGTGGCTGCTGAGTGGACCCTGGGCCCACTAAATTATTGAAGGACGGTCCACTTTGAATGAGTGTGTCCAAAGCTTTCTGGACACTAGGGTTGTCGAGATTGATGCACGAGGCTGCCACGGGGGGTCTCTGGGCAGCTGACGCTCCGGGCATGCGGCCTGGTGGGGAGCTGTAGCTCTGGGATGAGGCTGGAGGAGGACCAGGTGGGCGGGAGGGATTCTGCGAAGGACCAGTGGAGCTGTAGGGGTGTGGCTGGGGGGCACCAGCAGAAGGAATTCCACCGCTGTTTCCTGGTGACGGCCCCGAGCCGCTGTTAAACAGACTGAGGATTTTAGCTTGAAGCTCCTGCTGATGATTCGGGTTAGCTGGAGCACTTGAACTGGCTGACAGATGACTCGATGAAGCGGGAGGGCGAGACGGTGGAGGAAGTCCTGCAGCCGATGGTGGGACATCGTGATGCGCTCCTGCAGAAGGTCCAATGCTAACTGGAGCTACAGAAGAACACATTGTTACAGTTTGCTGAGCGGTAACTCTGCAACYTACAGATGAACAATTCTAGATATGCACCAATTATAGAGGGATATTTAAGGTGTAACATTCACCAAAAGCTTGTTAGATATACTTTAGTGCACACATATTGTTTCATGCAAACCTGCACTTTAATGAAATGGTTACCTGCAAGAGGTTCTGCTGAGCCTCGAACAAGGCGGGCTCTTTTGTCTTGTAGGTATGCAATGAGACGGTCCAGTTCCTCAGGGGTTAAAAACCTAACCAGCAACCACACACAGTGAAAATTTATTGTTTAAAGAATGGAAAATCTATTTTTTAACTAGACTAAATAATTTTTTAACCATCTAAAGACAAGTGTAATACCTGTTTTCAGAGAGCAGAGTGATGGAAGTGAGCACTGAAGTGGGATGGCTCTCTCTGTCGGCCTCTCGGAGTAACACGTCATCTGCCATCTTGGCAGCCTTCCTGGCAATCTCTTCACGTTCTTTTTCACGATTTTCGACTTTGTAGGTGTCGTAGTTGTGGGCAACCAGCATCATGGCATCTTGCATAGGCATGTTGCGATGCTCTATGACAATAATTACATGGAGAAGCAAGAGTGTAATTGAACATAGACAAGGTCGAAACCTTTTACAACAAACTCAGCAAACAGGCGTGCATTGTTGTGCTGGCCTACCTTGAGGGGTGCCAAACAGGATGTTCACGGTGCAGGAACGGTGCACCTGGTGCTGCTGGGTAATGATGATGGCAAAAGGAGTGCGGGCTCTGCCTACATCCTCAAGAGCCTGAGTAAGGGACACCTCTGTGTTGAGGAAAATCAGATCCACCACCATTCCCAAATCCCGGACTTTCCGCCCGACTGTTTCCGCGTACTCCCGACAGTTGGTTTGGAAGTGAAAGCACAAGCGCACACACACGAAAACAGAAGCAATATGAAATAAAAACATGTCATGACTTGAGTATTAACCGTGACGCTTGATCTGAAATGAGAGGTGTTTCCCATAAAGATCAAAAACTGAACTTACTTTTGAACCTTGTTGACAACAATCACAGAGCAGTCAACAGGACGGTCGGTGTCATAGCGCCGCTGGAGTTCCTCAAAGTACTGTCGATACAGTTCATTACGACGACGCTCCTCAGGTCGAGCTCGATCATCTAATGTTTGCCGAGAATAAAGGTGATAATCGGCTTTTTGCGTCAGTTTCATTTCATTTAGAGTACTTTTCACTTAGCTGTAAAATCGTCAGGTTTGTTATGATTTCGGTTTATAGATATTGTAGTTGCACTTTTAATATCAAATGTAAATAGGAGCAAGTACTAGGGTTGGGCAATATTGGCAAAAAAAAATCACGATTAATTGTGGTATTTAGCCAATAACGATTAATTTGACGATTAAACCCCATGGAGTCCCTGGAAACCTTTATGTCCTAGTCACATGATTAATGTAGTGGGAAATATTTGCTCTTCATAAAAATCTGTTCCAAATTGTGTCAAAATTACAGACTTCAAGCTACACATCAAATTTTAAATTCTGTTGATAGATAAATAAATTACAGAACTTTTTTTAATGTTGGTCATATCTGAAGCAGAGAGGAGCACAGAGCAGACTGACCTGGTGACATTAATCGTATTAATCGTCAAGTGCCAAAAAATAATCGATTGTTTTTCTGACGATTAATTGCACACGATACGATTATGCCCAACCCTAGCAAGTACTTATCTGGAAACTTATGCACTTTGTAAAGGAAAGCAAAACAAAATTTCAGTTATACTAAAAGATAAAACAAAAAAGTAAAAAAATCTAATAAAGGGAAAACAGTTTCCTTTACAACAAATAAGAAAAGACAGAATTGCGGTGTGCATTACCAGGGTTCCTACAGTTCAAAGCAAGTTAAATTTAAGACTTTTTAAGACTTTAATGCCAACTGAAATTAAATTTAAGACCAATTTCATAATAAACACAAATGACAAAAAAAAAATCAAACTTTAGCAGAAACTCATAAATCAAAGTATTTTTGGTTGAAGTATTCAAATATTGCTAACAGACCAATTGTTTTTATCCATATCTAACTGATCTTTTGTCAAATATAGCAAAAACATTCTTAGCAGTCAGTGTAATGACCCAAAATTTGGAGTTTTAGGACCCACAGTGGGGTCTTAACCCCAATTTGCTATAGATGAAACCTTAAGTGCATGTGACATCAAAATTTGTAATAACAGTTAATGCATTTTTGATATGACACCATTATTAACATATTACAAAACGAGTTTCACATTGGCCTTTTTTTGGATTGATGAATTCAATGCCTTTTAAGACTTTTTAAGGATCTGCATGAACCCTGATTACCTGGCTCACGGCGTCCATTCCAGGGATCTAAAAAGGGTTCCCTGAAGGGTTCTTCCTTCCTCCTGTAATACTCCTCAGCAGCACTGCCACCGCGGTAATACCGATCATACTCCTCTCTGTGGTAATGAAAAAAATAAAATAAAATTAGATCAGATAACAGATATGAATGTAAYGCAGGAACTTATGATTTGCAACTGATGGGTTAAATATTAATCACCTGTACGCAGGATCCCGCGGAGGGCCCCTAATATCCTTGTCTCTGCTCCCTGACCGATAACGATAATCAGGGTCTCGAGAATGGCTTTCTGGTCTGGGCTCTCTACCAGGATCTCTGCCCAGATCCCTACCAGGATCTCTGCCCAGATCTCTACCAGGGTCTCTTCCAAGATCTCTACCAGGGTCTCTTGCATCACGGCTGTCCCGGGGTTCACGTCCATTACGAGGCTCACGTCCATCACGTGAATAAACAGGTGAGCGTGACCGAGGACGGGGCGGGGCCCTGAGAAAAAACATAATCCATTAGTGCAAGAACAGTTAAGAAAGTACAGGGAGTAAGAGAATAAGCTTAAACTAGATACTTTAATTAAATGAACTTGAACTTGTGTAAAGTCAGATCTAAAAAACCCAAGTGGGAAAGCTGCTAAAGCAGCATGTTCAAAGAGAAAGTACTGGTAGTTTACTTTGTAGGTTCAACTCTACAGCATTACGGTATTTTTTTAAAATGAATAACTGTTTAGCATTTATTGTGGTTTATTTTCTTATATAAAAAATCTATGAGAAAAAAACATTTTATTAGTGTTTCTTTTTTAATAATGTCCCCTTTTTTTAATCAGAAAAAAAAAAGTTTGGGCAAAAACTGTGGGTAAACATCCCCTTAACTATTTTTGCTGTGGGAAACAAGAAAATATATACATATAAAGTGAAAAAAGTAATGAGTTTTATTGTTTTATATCCGTGTTCTGCAACATGAAGACTCCTTTCATTACCATTGCAAATTTTCTGGTCCAACTTATTGAGGTTCACCATTTTGCCCTCTACAGAAACTCCCTTAGATTAACGAGGGAAGCCTCAGCTGTTTGATGAGAAAAACTTTCCATTTAAAAAGAATGAGTAAATTAGAGGTTATACTTCTTTTCCCCCTTTCTGAATATCCTGGAGATAAAGGCGTAAAAAAAAATTGTGACCTTAACAATTAGTCCTCGACAAACAACTTACAATACGCAATCAAATTGTTAAATTGAAAAATAAAATATTTCAATATTCTCCCCCCATATCCCCCCAACACATACACCCACTCACCCACCCTCCGCAACGCCAATATACACACACATTTAGTTCTGACTCAGAATTGTTTACAGGTGTTCAGTGTGAGACGTTTTAAGTGCCGCCACAATCAAGGGTCAACCTTTCATCAAAAATAAGTTCCCATAACTGAATCACGTTCACGCGCAAGCGAATCATACATTATTCCACCGATTAATAAATGATGGGTCTCTTTTAAGTGAAAAATGACAAAGTCACTGCAAATATTACAATGAAAAGAAATTTAGCAACAACTTAAAAAAAGTGTTTAAATACCGGTAAATGAAAACAAAAATATAAAATAAAATAAAATTAAATAAACCACCACCAATGGGTTTGTCTGTTTACATTTCATGTAGACTTTCTATTATTGGAAACCATTGTTTGGCTTTAAAACAGGTGTCTTTCAGAGTTAAGTGATTACAGTAAATATAAAACACAAACACATAAAACCAGAATGTAGAACATGAATCTGCATAAGGCAAAGTAGGCGAGACTAAAATAAATTTTCCCGGAAATAGTTTTTCTTATTTTTGCCAGAAAAAAAATGTATGGAAACCACACAAAGGATATTTAAGACAAAGACACTATTACACCGATATGTCTCTCCTCTTTATTTCAACACATCAGGAAATGTTAACCTTGTGTGAAATGTTGACCGTTCAATAAAGCATTGAAAATCATTTAGGTGGGCCAGCTTCCAAACTGCGGGGTTTGACCATTAGAGAAAACGGCAGATGATGAAAAAATTTAAATGAGCTTTTTTTACCGACAGCTCAAAGGCGATGGTAGTTCTTCACACCCTTTTTGCGTGACTTTACCTTCGTGGAGGGCTCTGCTGGGATTGAGGTTTAGCTTGCCGTCGTTCCACTGCCATATTTACATCTGAAAATAAATCAATCCAAACGTTGAACACAACAGTGACATGTAGATCAGCTCATGATGTTCACGCAGAATGAGAGGCCGTGCCACTTTCACGATCCAAATAAAATTGAGCACCACCGTCGCAATTTGAAAATTCTTTTGCCATTGATCAACGCCTGGCAAGTCGAGTCGCCAAATTGAGTCGCCAAATCTATGGAGCGAATTAGAGAAAGAAGCAAAATAATTTTTTACTCTGTCAAAATTTGCTCCAAATTGTCTTGAACATGGTAAGAAGAATTGGGTAGAAATAAGAAAAATCCCAAGTTGTCAGTGATGTAAGTGAATCCAAAAGATGACCAAAATCAAAGAAAAATGATTTAAAGACATAAAAGTATTAATATATTTCTCTGCATAGAGTTGGATGGTTTTTGTAAGATTTTTTTAATTAAAAAACCTCACGTTTGTGCTTCATATTATTTTTCAATTTTGTAAAAGTGTGACATCAAAGAACCAATAAGAACAAATGCAACACATTTGAAACACACTTGATGTGAACTTTGATTGGCCCCAGCTTTCTCGGTTACAAGATACTTTTTTTTGCACAGTTCAGCAGTTATGTCCAAGTCCAATACGTCCCACTCTATTTACTACCAGCAAGTTGGTTATTTTAACAAGTCAAAGAACGTCAGACATTATCGTTTCCTATTAGTTAAAAAAATAATGAATTCTATTTTTTTCTGGTGCATTTTCATACCATCATTATCAAGATATGAATGATTCTGAATCTAATGAAATATTTCAAAATTTCTTTTATTTTTTTTACATGAGTTGCCTGACCAAGATGTGAAATGTCAACTTTTGCATTGAAAGTCAGTGTTAGGAAGTACTTCAGCTTCCATGAAGTTGAAGGATAAAAATGTTTTTGACAAGAATCATATGCAACTATGTGTAAGTTGTTCACAGAGATCCACCCCGAGGACAGAAAAAAACGCCAGTGGTAGCTAGAACCTCAAAAAGGAAAAGCAAAATAAAACCTCTACCGTAGCTTTAACAAAAAGGTTTTGCATCCTCATTCAAGTGTTGAAAACCATGTCTATGTTTTGCACTTTGGAGCCTGGTTATAAAATGATTTTACAGCCATCCCATGGTAACACAGAAGAAAGCGGGTAAGATGGTTCTAACATGTGATGCACACATGTGATCGATAGAGTTTGTCATTGACTGTTCTTTGACCCCATTGTTTAAAACGGGATTTAATTAAGATAACATCAATGTCACATCTGTTTTTTAAAAAAAAACTAGGGGAAGGTGTTGCATCTGGTCCTATTAATTTGTTAAAGCACACAAAAGTGTTCATCTTTAAAGGCCCTGATTACACAATGTTGCATTTAAGAAAAAACAGAAATTCTTAAGTTTCAGCCATTCGTATTCRCGACAAAAGCGGTCCATTTTTCTGACACCGAAGCATTTTGAATCCAGGTCTCAGAGTGGAGGTTTTAGGCAACGTCCAACAACGATGTGAAATTGAGTGCGAGCACTACAAATGACTGCAGACAGTTTTTTCTGCATTTGCACGAGTAAATGAACAGTAACAATGGCAGATAGCAGTGTTTTTGCGTTACGCAASATTTTCAATGAGTAGGAGGAACTCAACTTCATCCTCGGTCTAAATAAAAGTTGGATTCACAATTTTGGATGCAACTGCTTTTATGCCTGAGATTTAAGTGTCTGCGCGCAAGCATGTGCTGTTGAAAAACAAAAATGATAGAGCCAGGTAGTGATTTGGTTTGGAAGAAGAGAAACATGAGAACAATCATGTTTATCAGAAATTTTGCATTAAATTTTATTGATTTCATTGGTGACGCACCAAACAATTAGAATCCTCAATGACCATACAATCACACTTTTTGCATTTAAAGCTTACCTATCTTGTAACCTCTATACATTCGCCCTCTTTGAGCCGCTCTTGCAGCTTCAGCTTCTTCAATGCGCTCAAACTGAACAAATCCATACCCTCGCAACAGGGATACGCCTGGAAGAGGAATATTTTAAGGGCAAAACCTTTTAATACATTTAAATATCTCCCCATTTAAAAAAAATGCCCAAAATAAACATTCTCTCATTTCAATAAACAAAATGCGAGAATGTCTTTAAATTAACATCTATAATTTTAATTAATTCAGCGACAACCTCCAGGAGAAAAATCGTCATTAATTACCACCGGCCACTCAACACTTTTATGTTTACTAACCAATAATCTTCCCGTATGGGGCGAACAGGTCTTCCAAATCCTTGTGTGTCATGTCGGACGTTGGCAAATTTCCGACAAAAATTCTTCTCTCCAAATCTCTTGGATCGTTACTGTTGCAGGTGCGTGAGAATCGCACGGGAGAGGAACTGCGACTTCTTCTGCGAGACATGACTAGGTCCCAAGGTTTATCGTTTTCTTTCTCCGTGCACCTCAAATGCTTGAAAGGGTTTTATCTGCGTGCGAACGARTGTCGTTAAAGTGTCCTCAATCCTGAAACATGTCAGTGAGTAAAAGAAGAGATCAAATTCCTTCAAAATTCAAGAGTTAAGTGGAGGAAAGGTTGCAGGTCAAATTCACAGAAATGGTCAAACAAAGAAAATGCAAAAGATCGTGAAAAGAACAAACAACTACTTTTTGTTTATTTTGGATCAACAAATAATTTGAGCAGTTATAGCAAACGATCCATTTGTTAGTTGCAATTGATTGTTAAAAATGCGAACAAGGTAGTTTTGAATTATTATTCCAGTTCTTTAATAGGTCCATCTAAATTTAATAGTTAATTTAATTATGGTACTCAGTCTACGGCTGTGTCCAAAACGAGAGGCTGGGTCCTCCGAAGGCTGAATTCRTCGGCCGCTTACATCACAGCGACACAATGGAGGCTGTCCAAAACCGAAGACTCCTCCGATGCGGCCGACAAATGCGTCCTTCCTTTGCCCCGAACTGAAGGACGGGTCCGATGGAGCCTTCTTGGCCTACCATATCCCATAATGCATTTTGGCCTTACCAGAAGTTTTTTATGCTAGTAATGGCAGACGAAGCAAGATATAATGTCTTTTTAAAAAAAAAATATGGCAGCATAAAAATTTTAATTTTCAAGAGGCTGTGTTAAAATTTGTCATTTGTATAGATGTTTTTAAATATTATTTTTGTCAGAAAAAAAACCTGCGAAATAAACATGCACCCACGGCAGGCCCATTAGTTCTTTAAATACTACCTTTAAGTTAATTTTATTGTTTTGTGATATTAATAACACTAAAACAGTGGTTCCCAACCTTTTCAGCTTTTGACCCACAGAATACCAGCAGCAGAGACCTGAGCCCCCAGTTGTTGTCAGTTGATGAGCATTGTTTTCACGTCAAATAAACCAGAGCATAGTAACATTTATTACACTATTTTTTGTCAATTTTAAGTACACTAATTTTATTATTTTGTAAAAACAAAAAGGGAAAAAATGTTCTTATTTGCCTCTTTTGTGTGTGTAATTAATTCAAAAAAATATTTTCAGGACCCCACCTTGATGTTTCAGGGTCCAAACCCCAACTTTGGGAACCACTGCAATAATATGTTRATATTTTTCTATTTTTTTTTTTCCTGTTGAGCGTCGTCACGGTTCCTAGGCGACAAAACGTRCGCTGGGGTAAGGATGGGAGGCTAGACCGTRCAAATTCAGCCACCTTTTTCCCGTCTTCGTGGTCTACCAAGGACTCGGCCCACCTCGACCGGGTCCTTCGGAGGACCCGGCCTCCCGTTTTGGGCACAGACTACATTTCACTGACAAACATCACAGAAAAAAAAAAAGATATATCTCATGGAAATAAAAAAAAATGTCTGATTTAAATTGTAGACATGTTAAGGTATGGCAAAAATATTAAAYAGCCATGTGTTTATTCTAGTTCAAAATATAATCAAGTATGTATATTTAAAACACAAATAAATTGGAGATAATTATCCAAATAGAGTGCAGTGTGCATGATTAAACACTACTTGCCCATCACAAAATTTAATTTAATTTTAGTCAAGAACTCCACAAATTTCATTACGAAACTTAAGAGTCGTTAAACCTGTGACAATGTTGACTCTTTGGACCAGTTGTCTTTTATCTAAGCATAGAGATAACTCGACRGCACAAAATAAATGGCTTGTTTCAAAAGTCCTCTTCTCTTGAAATAACAGAGCCATCTTGAAAAAAAGGGGATTTATTGAAATGAAACAAAACAAGTGCAGTCCACTGAAAATGTCAAAAATTTTCTTTAAATAAAACCATGGTTCTTGTAGTCACCAAAGAAAATGTTTGTTTTCCATTGGTACTGATAGAGCTAATTAAAAAAATAATAATAATCTGTGAACATTTTCGGACAAAACCCATACAGCACAAACTTAAAAACCAAATTACACAAAAGTGAATGAAGAAACTAACATTATTTTTAGAGCAGAGCCTTTACATACCTCAAATTGMAAGTGGATGCTCTCAGTCCTTGCTTAGTTTTGATGGTCCAAAAGCCTAAAATCAGACCAAGAAATGCAAACATTAGAGGATATCAAACACTTGAAATGCTCTAAATTGYCTATGTTTTGCTTTTAAAGAAAAATAGAGTATCTGAATCTTTGTTATATGCAGCAACATCTTGTTTCTCACGAACTGATTCAAACATTACTCCCATTATGTGGATTTATAAGATCCTAGAATTCCGAAAATTATTTCATTATAAAATAGACAAATTTACAAACTGTTTTCTCACTGTATGTCTTATGAAAATCGATCATTACAAAACTAATCTAAAATAAATKTAACGTTCAGGAAATCTCACAACGCCTTATTAAAATCATCAATCAGAGAAGTTGCGATAAGAAAGAAATCGGCGGCAGCAGGCATTAGCACTTTGTTAGCTAACTAGCTTTGCAGTTGTCTCTATGTGTCCGGCCATTTTGGCTTCCATTTTAAGCGGCCTGTATATTTTCTGAAACAGATGCCGTACAATTTCCAAMAGTATAAGGAGATAAAACGGATTATGTATTATTTAACCCGAAACTSCCACATTTGARAAGTATGATTAATWCGGATGCATAGAKMCATTCCGTGAGCTTATTTTTACGTWTTGCGGTGTAGCCGCATGTAGCTAAGTTAGCAATAGCTTATTAGCTATTTCTATTTGTAAATGTCAACACCAAACTGCTTGTTTTACTTTTGTATGAGCAGTTACGTGTGCATATAGGAATCGCTGCAAGTATTGCTATTATTATAGATAAAGGACAGATTCCTACGTACCTTCGATGTGTATTTTATTTGTATTTTCAGTCGCCCAAGGCCACACGAAACGCTGCTGATTTCCTTGCTACCTCTTGCGTTTCGCATGCGCATGCGCAAAACCCTAAACAACTGTAATCGCTGCAGGAGGAGCTTCAGCTTCACACAAAATTGTACGGTCGAATCATCCGTCTGGACGCGCCGRCGTATGAATGAAGCACACCCAAAACAAGGAGGAAGTCCAGAAGGGAATGTGTTTGTGTTAGTTTTTAGAAATACCCGTGTAGAGTAGACAGACACGGGGTTTTTAATTAAGACACTTTAATTGGTGTTTAAACATAGAAATACATGTCATCATATAGTTTATTTCGACTACGTATTTGTGTCGTGTCACGGACTTCGTTTTACTTCCACGTATGAGACGCACCTCTACGTTTCCCTCCGGAAGTTTTGCGCTTTTCACACATTCTGACAGGTATTTTAGACCATACAATGTGAACATTTATACCGCTGACAGTAATACTACGGAAAACAACAGGTTTAAAGCCTGTATCTGAACTTCTTCATTTTAAGACTCGCGGCCTGTAAAAAAAAATAATAATAAATAAATAAGTGGGGGCACATGATGTCTAAGCTAAAACAGTGTTTAGAGTCCGGACTGCTCTTCCTTGAGTTTCTGGGAGACCGACTGTCCAACAACACTAAAGAAGAGATTCGAAACATCTACAACAATGAGTTTAGGAGCAGGTAGGCTCCCACGCAAACTGTATTTGTCACATGATGCTGTGTGGGATAATAATTGGTTTTAATACGTACCTGTTCACAGAGAAGGATCAAAACACCCCAACTTCGGCGGTGTCTTCTACGCTCTTATGAACATGTCCAACAAGATCAGTGTGAAAAATGGGAAATTCAAACGAAATTTTAAACCTCGGGTAAGTAAAGTAAAGTAAAAGTTTATTTATATAGCACCTTTCACAGACATAGAGGGTCACAAAGTGCTTTACAAAGGTGCAAAGTTATAYAGAAAGAGAAAACAATAAAACATCAGCAAAAACATAAAACATTAGCTAAGAAACATAACACACTGTAATTGTTAAAAGGCTTTATAAAAAAGGAAAGTTTTAAGTTGGAGTAAGATATTTCATATTATTTAAGGGGCAAACTTCATTTCTGTCAGAGCTGCTGAGATGAGTCTGGGAATGTTTTTTTTTTTTTTCTGCTGACTCAAAGAAAATCAAAWGAGGATGCATCCTGTTTTTGTTGCAGGCTGCAGTGTCCTCTGACCAGTCAAATGTTGTGGGGTCCTCTCAACAACACAGGAAGAGTGACAGAGGTCAGAAAACAGCAGAGTCGCATGAAACGTCCGCACCTCCAAAGCGCACCTCAAAGAAGGGAAAGGCCACACGAGTCATCAAGATGATGAAAAAGCACAGGTACGGTGWAGTCTGTTCTCAGTGAAATGCTGGATTGTCTTTCCCCATTAACAATATCCTTTTTCTTGTCAAACCTTTCTGCACTTGATTTATTCCTCTAAAAGTTAGACACAACAATTCACAGAATCAGCAGGGATACTCCAGATATCAACCTAGAACTTGTGGTGGCCAGTTTGAGGAAATAATTAATGCCAACACAGATGGAATCCCTGCAAGCTCCTTATYAGCAATCAGATGATAAATACTAAACAAATATCATGTATGTCTTTTGATTATTTTTGATCAACTTTCTCCAAATGTTAAGGCTGGGTTTGTGCAGAATTTTGAGCTCAGTGCCTTGAAAAAGTGTTAATACAAACTTCCAGCAACATCTTAGACTATTTAATTGAAACACCATGTTAAATTAGCGCTGGGCAAATAAATAAATAAATCAAAAATCAAAAACTGTATGTATCACGAAAGACATGATCAATATCAATAGAAAATGCATCCAGCAGACTGTTGATAATTTCAATGAACTCTGATCCAGAACTGCGCAGCATTCTAAGGGCTTTAGGCAGAGGAATGGCTTTAGCCACTCGACCTCTCACGGCCCAGCAAAGCAAGGTTGGTGGCATCAGCTAACTCACTTACATTTTGGTAAGCTAGCAACAACCTGTTGAGTAATGTGCAGCAGTTTCATGTTTTGTCACTGTGCCTTATAACTCCTTTAAAAATAAAAATAAAAAATAAAAACAACGTGGAGTAAAAGGAGAAAATGAGTGCAACAGCTCAAGTGAAAGTTGTGGATAAAAGAGGAAAAGTCACGTCACCTGTTTGGCAGGATAAATCAACCTTTTTTATCTTTGTCCTTATTTCACATAGGTAAAACAAAAAACTAATGAAACGCTCATATTGTGACACATTTTCAGCAACATTGCCCAGCCATATGCTAAATATTGTTATGTATGTAAAGAAATTTAAGTATTTGCCAATAAACGGCCAAAAAAAAATCACTGTAAGAAGCGGTTCTAAAACACGGTGGAACTTTGCAAAACTCAACCTAGCTRGTTTTAATATGTTCAGAGGATGGCTCATAAATAGGATTAACTGACCCACCAAGCAATAAAATGTCAATCTAGCCCTGCATTCTGTGTTATTTTGCCAATATTTGATATTAGATTGTAGAGAACCCCCTRACCTCACAGTAAGGCTGGCCCTGTGGTTGACCCTCTTCAACCTCCCCTGCTCTCTACAGGCCAACATGGTTCTCCTAAAGAAACTTTCTTCCCAAGTACAGCGTATAAACTAAACATTCTCCCTGTCTCTCCCTGAAAAGTATTCATAACAGCCCCAGTAGCATATAATGTGCCATCTGCCCCTTTTCTGTTTGYGCTAGCTTTCAAATGTGCCCAAGGGCACCCCTCATGCACATGCTAATAGTGATTTTTTTAATTTAAAAAAATAAAAATAAAAACTTTCCTTTAACATTTAAAGGTCTGTTTAATGTCTATTTCATATGCATAAATTGTTTTCTTTTTCTTTATTTTGTTCAACTCAAAATACGTTTGTATGACCATGTTCTGTTTAATTTTCTCACAAATATTAATGCTTTTATGGCTTGCATAATGAGAAGAGTCATTTAGTTAGTCTTTGATTTTTAAGTAAGCAAGTAAGTAAAATTTTATTTATAGCACGCCTTTCACTGAAATGGAATTCACAAGGTGCTGTACAATAGTCAATATAGAAAGAGTTGGTTGGCAGCAAGTGCTGTACAATAATCAAACACAAATAAAAAACAGTAATACTTGACAATTACWTTACAAAAASAGAAATACTTGACAATTACATTACAAATGGTGAAATTCAGGTCAAYACWTTCTCAAATTTTTGGAATAGTAGGGGGCATGGGATAACAATGAAGGAGAAAAAGTAATTAAGGTATATACAATAGATAGGCTTGCCTGTAACTRATTGGAGTCGATGGTCATGGCGTATAAGATGTAAATGAATCGATACCAGTCTGAAGTAAAATACGTGTTTTGCAGTCAAGGAAATTTAGGTTCAGGATTATGTTGTGGAYGGCAGGATACCTTCAGCTAAATGCTTGAGTGAATAGATGKGTTTTTAGTTGATTTTTAAAGRTGTCAGTGTTATCAAGGGAGCGCAGATGGGCCAGGAAAGCGTTCCAAAGTCTGGGAGCCATAGAGGAGAAAGCACGGTCTCCGCGGGTCTTGAGACGGGTAGGGGGGACGAAAATAGAAAATAGAAGGTTCTGATTTTGTGAATGCAAATTGCGTGTTGGATTGTAGTAGGAGATGAGGCTCGAGATGTAGTTGGGCTCCTGGCCATGTAGGGCTCTGAAGGTCAGAACTAGGATTTTGAATCCGAGTCTGAAGTGGACAGGAAGCCAGTGAAGCTCTGATAAGATGGGAGTAATGTGGGAGAGTTTCGAAGTGCGAGTTAGAAGTCTTGTTGCTGAATTTTGTACAAGTTGGAGACGATTAAGTTGTTTTTGATTCAGGCAGGTGAACAGACTATTGAAATAGTCTAGGCGGATCGAGACAAAGGCGTGGATTAGCATTTCTAGGTCAGAGGCAGACAGTATAGGGCAAAGTTTTGAAATGTTACGGAGCTGAAAGAAGCATGATGAAACCAGATTTTTAACATGTTTATCCAAGGGCAGATCTGAGTCTATGTTGACTCCTAGGTTTCCAATGTTTCGAATGTTCTTCGAATGTTTCGAATGTTCTGTTTAACTGTTGGACCCAAGGAGCCAAGCTGATCTTTTATCTCTGTGATTTTGTTTTCTGGTGCCAGAAACCAGTAATCATCATCGTAATCACCAGTAATTTTTATGTTAGACTAGTAGTCGTGTYACTTTATTTGACATTGAAATGTGTTATAGTTGTGCTGATATGAAACATATTTCTCCAAGGTTGTTCCCAGATGAAGCTGCTTCTGTTGTCTCCAGCCAAGCACAAACCCACCTGACAAAACACGCTCATATTTTGTCTTTTCTTATCTTTTCCCACTCTCTCTCCTCTCTGGGAGTTTTGTCTAGTCTGAGAAGTTTTCGGTTTTGCTTGCTGATCTTACGCTGAAAACATCTTGCAAGTTTTCAGCCTCTCTGCCAACGCTTAGCCAATTTTCACGAGAAGAAACATTTAAAAAATTTTCTTACCTTGGATTTTCCAAGAGTTCCTGTTTTKGGATTACTTTTGAGCCGCTGCCAGCTGACCCACCTTGCGGCGTACAACTCTTCATCAGAGCACTGCCTGATGAAAGATCRCTCCTGCCTGCCTCTCCTAGCGTGACCGGCCGCGTTTTACTCCATCCGTGTGAGCAGAGGTGATACGCAGTGTAGAGCTCCTGTCCACAGCTGGCCATCACAAAGTGGGCGTCAATCAACTCGGCTTTCGCTGTTGTTCCCCTCACCGTCTGTGTCAAACAAACACGGTAGGACAAGGAGTTATTTTCTGCTACCTGGCGTCAGCTGGCTGGCCCAAGGTCCACACCGCTGGCCTCACCTCGCGTCACTGAGTTAATTAAAAACTTAGTGGAACCCTGCTTAGTGTAAATTCTGCTKAACTGCTCACTTTCACTATCTTTTCCTCTCTCTCTCGAACTAACAGATTGATTGAGCACACACACACCCTCAAGCTTACTTTGTGTTCAAAATTTTTATTGAAGCTGAAATGACTGCTTGTTTAGAGATGAGYTGATAAATTGTTTATTAGTAAACTGTTGACTGTTAATTTTGAGCTAATTACTTGTCAAAAGAAAGCCTGTAATCCGTTCCTAATCAATTGCTTGCAATTTTTCTTTTAATCTGGTTAAAGAAACACACCGCTCACGTTGTAAACATAATTTTGAGTCCTGCCCATTAAGGTGATATCTTTAAGGTTTGTTCTCTCGTCACRATCCGGGTCAGAACTAGTGAAGCGGTACAACCTCTGTGTCCACCGTTGATAGAGCTATTTCTGAATAAACAAACAGGTTCCTCTACAAGATTATTATTCTCTGACAAATCATTACCCTGTTTAGTAGTTCTTCAAGTGGTATGTTCACCATATTTTCTTCATAACATTAAATTACTCCACATATTTACCTGTGATGAAGTGCACATGTACATATATTTAAGATTATCCACTTTATTTCACTTTTTGCATCTTTAGAGTTTGTAGTAGGTTAAACGTGATTCAAAATGCAAAGATACACACCCTGATCCTGATTCTGTTTGTCCCTCACAGCAAACAGATGTCAGCTGATAAGAAAGGAATTGTAATCACCTCCGACCCAGAACTGAGGGATGGAAAGGTTCAATTCACTGTGGATGTCCAGAAGGAGTCGTTCGTTGTGAAGTTCCACGTTGTCAACAAAGGACCAAACTACATCTACTTCACCAATTACACTGTTCTTGACCGAGTTCGCTGTTTCACTTTAGAGGCTGAAAGGAAAGTGACAAAAGCCAGTTCTCTTCTTCTCTGTCCTGGTGAGACAAGAAACTCTTATCATCTGCCTCTTTCAAGACTACACGTTTACAAAAACAGTCAAAGGTTATGTATTCATTCCTACTGTCTTTTTTCCCCCTCTCTCAGATGAGCACTATGATTTAGCTGTTCGTTGCAACCTTAATCAGTGCGGATATTTCCCTGCCACCATCTGCTTTGAGTTTTGTCTTGACCTGCCGAAGCCAGAGACGTTTTGCATTGTCAGGAAGATTGAAGCTACGGTCCAAACCTCGCTGGCGGCAGAGCTGGGGCCTGTAGCTCCCTATAGACCATTCCAGCGGACCAAACCCAAACCTCCTGCTACGAAAGTTGTGGAGGGAAAACCACCTCAAGAGTAAGCTATCATAAAACCTACATTACAGGAAAATGGAGTGCTCTTCTACAAAATAACAAATTAATGCATATCTCTTTTATAACCTTCAAATATTCCTTCTGTCAATTTCAGAGCAAAATGTCAGATGACGGTCATCGTGAAGCTCGGAGATTATAAGTGTCCTCAGTACCTGACAGAACTAACTAAACACAGAATGGAGGACGTCCAGTGCCTCTCTACAGCAGCCAAACAGAACCTTGCATCTGTGAAGTGAGATCCTTACCTAAATACAGTCAAACAATCCTGTTTTTCAGCGAAGAGTGAGTTATGGAATGGAGCTCCTGTTCGTGTTTGTCCTGTTCTTCCAGAAAGGTTCTGGAGTCTCCTTTGGAAATGAAGAACTACTCCCGCAGATTCCACCTCCTGCTGCACCTGGAGGAGATCCAGATGAAAGTGGACATCAGAAAGTACAACCTCCGCAATCAAACCATGACCCAAGATCAACGCAACAAAGAACTCCTCGTATTGAAAGTAAAAACATTCATATGTACATGTTTGTTTATTTGTAATCTTTTAGGTGATTCAAGATAGATTTTTTTGTTAGWTTTTGAGGTTTGTTTAAGCTTCTTTCTGTCATGTCTGCTGCTTTTAAGGCAGCTTAACCCAGTTGCTGTTGTACATTTTCAAGTTCAAGTTTATTTATATAGCGCCAAGTCACAACATACGTTGTCTCAGGGCACTGTACATAAAAAGAATAACCTAAAGAAGAAACCAGCAGGCTGCGTTGAATCATTTCATCACAGTCTCCCATCCTGAGCAAATAGTGGAGAGGAAAAACTCCCTGCTAATCAGGAAGAAACCTCCAGCATAACCAGGCTCAGGGCAGGCGGCCATCTGCCTCGACCGGCTGGTTGAGGGACAGGAAAGAGACACAGGCAAACACAGAAGAACTGGTCCAGGTGCATCTTCTTCTGGAAGAGACAAAGAAAAAACATGATAGAAAAAATTACAATAAACATGTAGACAAGAGAGACTAAAGACAACAGCAGATTGAAGAAATGTGCTCAGTTTGTGCTCCAGCAGTCCAAATCTGTAGCAGCAGAAATGAAGAACCATTCTGGAAACTTAAGTCTAACTATATGATTTATCAAAAAGGAAAGTCTTCAGTCTAATCTTAAAAGTAGACAAAGTGTCAGCCTCACGGACAGAAACTGGAAGTGTTTCCACAAGAGAGGAGCTTGATAACTGAAAGCTCTGCYTCCCATTCTACTTTTAGAAACTCCAGGAACCACAAGTAAACCTGCTGTCTGAGAGCGAAGTGCTCTGTTAGGAAAGTATGGAACAATAAGATGTTTAATATATGATGGAACTTGATTGTTAAGAGCTTTGTATGTTAGGAGTAATATTTTAAGTTCTATTCTGAATTTGACAGGGAGCCAGTGGAGAGAAGCTAAAACTGGAGAAATATGATCTCTCCTTCCAACTCTCATTAAAACTCTAGCAGCAGCATTTTGAATTAACTGAAGACTTCTTAAAGAGTTTTTGGATGCCCGGATAATAAAGAATTACAGTAATCCAGTCTAGACGTGATAAATGCATGAATCAGTTTTCCTGCATCATTTTTGGACAAAATGTTTCTAATTTTAGTGATATTACGCAGATGGAAGAAGGCGATCCTGGTAACATTTTTAATGTGGGGGTTAAAAGACATGTCCTGATCAAAAATAACACCAAGGTTCTTTACATTAGAACTGGAGGCCAGATTAATGCCATCCAGAGGAGGTGAAAGGCTACAAAGTTGATCCCTAAGATGTTCAGGTCCAAAAACTATAACCTCTGTCTTATCTGAGTTTAGAAGCAGAAAATTAAGAGTCATCCGTGTTTTTATGTCTGTAAGACATGCTTGTAGTTTAAGTAAGTGGTTGGATTCATCAGGTTTCATGGATAAATATCACTGAGTATCATCAGCGTAACAATGGAAATTTATCCCATGCTGATTAATAATTTTACCTAAAGGAAGCAGATACAAAGTAAAGAGGATTGGTYCAAGCGCTGAACCCTGAGGAACTCCATGACTAACTCTGATGTAAGAAGATTCATTATTAACATTAACAAACTGAAATCTATCAGTTAAATAAGACTCAAACTATTTTAGAGCTGTTCTTGTAATCCCAATATCAAGTTCAAGTCTATATAATAAAATATTGTGATCAATTGTATCAAATGCAGCACTGAGATCTAACAGGACAAGAATGGACACAAGTCCACTGTCTGAGGCCATGAGAATATCATTAGTAACTTTAACCAGTGCTGTTTCTGTGCTATGATGAGCTTGAAACCCTGACTGAAACTACTCATATAGATTATTTCTATCCAGATGTTCACGTAGCTGATTTTCAACTAATTTCTCAAGAATTTTTGAGATGAATGGAAGATTAGATATAGATYTGTAGTTGGCCAGAACTCCTGAATCAAGATCAGGTTTCTTAAGTAAAGGTTTAATTACAGTAAACTTAAAGCTCTGCGGCACATAACCATTTATTAAAGATAAATTAAGTGCATCTAAAATATAAATATTTATTAATGGAAATGCTAATTTGAACAGTCTGGTTGGGATAGGATCTAGCAGACATGATGGTTTGGATGAAACTATTATTTTAGATAAGTTAATTTTCATATCAAATACTGCATTTACCTTTACTCAAGCAACTAAACTGCATRTATAGAGATTTCTGGGTTATAAAGTGTAAGAAAGTATCTATTTTCATCAAACAGGTCCCTGGGGTTGCCGAAAATCGTCCCTCTGTACTGCGAGGAGATTGCCTGAGAGTGACTCGATCTAAAGATAAAACCCCACCCATCACGCTGTACACTGGATATGTTCACAAAGTAGAGCTGGACCAAGTGAAGCTGGGCTTCGCTCGAAAGTAAAAGCTAGACTTGAGTTGTTTGAGCGCCGGTAGCTCACAGCATTTCAGAACCTTACCCACACATTTCCCATGTGTCCTCATTTCAGGTTGTGGAGTGAATTTAACCCCAAAATGAAGTTCGACGTAGATTTTACCTTCAACAGGCTCACTGTGAAGCTGCAGCATCGAGCCGTGGACCTTGCAGAAAAACATCAGCTGAAGGAGGTCCTGTTTCCTTCTGGTGCTGCAGAACCCAGCATTTCCCTCCCAGAACTCTGGTCAGGATAAAAAAAAACAAACAAAGCAAACAATGATAAAGTTCTATATCTCATATGTCTTATTTTGTGCTTTAAAGTTTAAACAGTTTTCCATTAATGCAAGGAAAACGAAGCGCTAAGAACAAATATGTTTCTCTACATTATTATTTAGTATGTTTAATCGTCAGCTGGAGGAAAATACGGAGCAACGTAATGCCGTCTGTCACATCGTAGCAGGATCATCAAAACCTGCTCCTTACATTGTCTTTGGGCCTCCTGGAACTGGAAAGACCGTTACTTTGGTCGAAGCCATAACTCAGGTAATAAGTAATAGATTTCTGTGATTTTGTTCATCCTACGGATGAAGTAATCAGACTTGTTTGTTTAAAATAATAATAATTCCACCTGATTTTATGAGGATCATTATCTGTTAGGATTAATTCTAGTATTAGTCTTACTTTATGAGGTCTGAAACCATAGGGGAGAGATTTTATAAATGTACTTTGAAGAAAAATTGACTGAATCTAAAGTTACTTTTCCTGTCATTTGTCACTACGTGATTGTTTGAATTCATTAATGAGGTGTCAAGAAAAGATTTTTATGTATTGTAAAAGTGTGGTTCCAAAAAGAATACCGAATTTTCACTTATGTAACTATATACACTACTGATAGTCAATGACTATTAAAAAAAATCCCTAATTAAGTTTTGCCTCACAGGTCAGCAGGGAGGATGGATCAGCCCACATCCTCGCCTGCGCACCGTCAAACAGCGCAGCCGATTTGATGTGTGAGAGACTGGCGGAGTACATGAATTCCGATCAGCTTTACCGCATGTACGCCAGCTGCCGAGACCCAAACAGTGTCCCCCAAAGCCTCCTGGTGAGCCTGCACAATATATATTTTTTGTACAACTGTACTTTTTTTTATTATTTTTTGCACCGATGTTGTAAAATGTTTGCTGTGTCTTTCAGAAATACTGTAACTGGGACAAGAACCAAGGTTATTTTGTGTTTCCAGAGAAGGATGTTCTGCAGAAATACAAAGTTATTGTGACTACTCTGTTCACAGCTGGCAGGTAGGAGGTACTTTTGCGCTTTTATAGAAGTCTAGTCTGCACAGTTTGTTCACAGCTTTGACATTAGAAAAAATGTTTCGTGAGTCATGTTTTTAGTAATTGTATTGTTTTATAAAAGTCTTACTGGGTTAGAATCTTGTGTGTGGTTGTTTTTCTCTAGACTTGTGACATTAGGGATCCCCATCGGCCATTTTTCAAACGTGTTTGTTGATGAAGCAGGTCAAGCTGAAGAGCCACAGTGTATAATTGCTGTTGCAGGTAAATATTGAGTGTTTTAAGAGCAGATATTGAGTTTTGTTTTAAGAGCTTTCGTTTTATGAAAACATTCAGGCTATTTTTGCATGTTTTAAGGTCAAATAAAATTAAATACAGTATTAAAATAATCAGTTTTTATATTGGTTTTAAAGGTAAACCTTTCTATGAAACGTTCTAGTGGTTTGTTTCTCTGATTATAACTCTAATGACTTGTTTTTAGTATTTTGTTGTCCAAATCCTGAAGTGGGAGGAAAACAAACTTTAGTTTAGTTTTAGTTTAGTTTAGTTAGTTTATTCATCCGTCTGTCCGTTTTCTTTCTTAGTTTATTCATTTCATTTAAAAGAAAAAAAACACTGCTCAAAAAATAAAGGGAACACTACTGCTCAAAAAAATAAAGGGAACA